TATTATGCTACCTTGAAGAACATGGAAGCTGTAAGCTGTCACATAACATGGATGAACCTTGAGGACATTATGTTGAGTGAAATTAGCCAGTTGCAAAAGGAGAAATACTACATAGGACCACTACTGTAAAAGACTAAGAAAAAGAACCCATACAAAAGGGGTGGGTTGAGGGGAGGGAGGAGAAGGTGGAGCACAGGGTAAGAAATAGACGCAGGAAAGTTTGGGTGCTAGGGAGGGGGGCAATACACAAGAAGGGGAGGGGAATGGAAGGACAAGGTGGATGGGAAAACAATTAGGTTTGCATGGGCTTAATGAAACAGGTAAATAATGATATATGCACAACCTTGGAACAACAGGGCTCTGGGATACAGGGATTGAGACAAGGTTGGAATGGGGAAAGAGGGGGAAATAAAGTTAAGATGCTTGGCTGTCTTTGGAATCTTGGTTTCCCTGGCATACCATTATAAAATAGACACTGGAAGGGGAGAGAAAGGAATAGCCAGAAACATCACCATAGAAAGCTTATAAGTCCGTCTTCTGCCTTTAACTGATTGGAATACCTAAAATGGGGCTACAACGTGCCCAGTGAAGGAGGCTTCCTGTGGAGCCTCTGCATTACATAAGAACATAGATGGAATCCTGAACCTCATCTTGTGAGATGAGCATGCTTATACTTTTATTAAATCTAGTGGTAATTTAACTCAGAAAAGAAATTTATTTAACTGTGAGCAAACTCAGTTTATCTAGGATTACAGTAAGTGATTGAAACTTAAATTGATTTGTTTTTTTGCATTAGCTTCAGCTTTAAAAGAAAATTAATGTTTTAACTTATGCTTTATGTTCTGTTTTTCAGAACATTGACGTAAAGCGAACTCCTGCAGTAAAGACCAATAGTTCTACCTATCATCATCTTTACAGTCTTGTGAACAGAGAGATGGACACAAAGCAGGTGATTGACTTATTGTTCATGGCCCTTACTTTATTATTGTTAAATTCGGGGAGTTGAATTATATCTTGGTTCTATATATGTATTCCCAGATTTCAAAATTTGAACAACTCTCCTAATCATCTTAGCATAATAGAGATCAAAACCTTTTAAATATGCTTTGAATTTCCTTGTCATATATATATAGTGCTTTAATGTGAATAAAAGAAAGTAATTGGTTATTTAAATGGTCATGTTTTTAAATAATGAGTTTTAAAACTTTTTTGTAATACAAAAAATACTAGAAAATTTTAGAGCTGTATACATAAGAGTAAATTATAGGAAAAACACCTATGATCTCATTGTCAAAAGATAATAATGGTTTATAATTTTAGAGGTTCAAGATAACAATGGTAAATATTTTTTAAATGCCACACCATATTTTGCAGTTTACATCGAAAGACTATAATGAACCTTTAAAACACCATGGCTCCCACAGCACTCTCTACTCAGCTGGGTTCAGTCATTCATAGCAGTGGCCACACAGAACTCAGATACTATACTCACAGCGATGGGCTTTACAGGGACCTTAACAGGTTCCAGTTCCAGACAGAAATGCCCTCTCAGCACTGGCAGTGTTACAGACCTCTTTCAGGGCTGCTCATAAATGTTCATAGGCACTCAGCTCTAGCTCCATGGATCAGCAAACCTGGATCCTCCAATTTAGTGCCTGGAGGCACCCCACTCTCCATGTAAGCCTCCTACCCAAAGTCACTTGCTCCTTGAACTGGGAAGCCCACCACTTTGGCTCATACTCTGGTTCTTGGCTTTGCTACTGCTGCTCTTTTGCCACTCCTTCAGTGCCACAGCTTTCTGTCCCTGGACCCAGGAGGTTCAGTAGGCTGGGATCTCAGGGCCCACCGGACACCTTCCACTCCTGGCTCTTTGATGATAGAGATGCCCCCTCCTTCTTTGAATATGGTTCCTTTTATACCCATGCTAGTAGTTGTAAGTTTTTACAGTTACAATTAACTCTGCTAACATTCACGGCCAAATCATGTCATCTTATCAGTGTCTTCTCCCACCTTTTCTTACTCAGACCCATCAGGAAAAGAGTCATTTCGTGGGAGTTGCAAAGATGAAGGGTAGAAGAGACATACGAAATAATTCACTACACCACATAAACATACATACATACACATACTTCAAAATCACTGGGATTATACTGTTTGAGAAAGTGCGTTTTCGTTTCACAATTTTTGGATCAGTTTATTTCTTACCTGTTCTTTAAAAGCATAATATTTTTAATTAATAATTAATTTAAGTATTAGTTAACTATTTTTAAATTTTAATATTTCATCATAGCATTCCTCTTCCATTTATTTCCTTCTATAAATAGTGTTAACATAATAGTCTGCATTTTATTTAGAATGTTTACTTATATTTGAAAGTAAATATTTAGATAATTATCGTCAATACAGGCTACCTGCCCTTTTCTGTATTACTCTTGTTACATTAATGATATATAAGAACTGACTATACAATGGCTTGATCATTACTTACGCACAAGTTCTAGAAAGTCAGAAATTGTATATTAAGTAGATATTTTGACAATTTGGCCTGTCAGAGACTGAAGTCAAGTCCCAGATTTTATCTGCAAACCAAAGCCAAACATCAGTGCTTCCGTAAATTATTTAGATGAATTTTTATCTCTGTGAGTTCCTAACTTGTGGGTCTTTACCTTTTAACATTTTTATTTTAATGGAATTTTCTTGTTGTTTCCTTAATAAAAGAGGATGGAGGAGCATGTTTAGATACCTCTGGTAGCATAGTGGTTACGAATTGGGCTGCAAACCTCAGGGTCAGCAGTTCAAAACTACCAGCTGTTCTGTGGGAGAAAGATGAGGCTTTCTGCTCCCGTAAAGATTTACAGCCTCGGAAACCCTGTACAGGGTCGCTATGAGTCGGAACCGACTCCATGGTACAACAACAATCTGGTTTGAAATTGACAACCTAAGTTTTTCATTTTATGATTAATATTTTGATTCTCTTTATATGATATATCTGGACATTTAAAAATACAACTCTTCTTATCCTTGAATTTTATGTAACTAGAAAACATGAATGTAAAGTTGTTTTGTGTTTTAGGTAGAACTTTAGTTCAGTACACTTTACTTTTAAATGATCTAAATTGCTGTTGATTGACTGCCAGCCAGACCCTCATTTAGCTGCTGAAGAAGAAGCGAAACGTTTGGAAGCACTACAAAAACAAGTAGCACAAGAAAGACTGGAACAGTTTGAAAAGGCCCATGTACGGGGTTTCCACGCAATGAAAAAGATCCATTTGGCTCAAGTAAGAATTGTATTCTAGTTGACCACTACTGCTGGTAGCAATGCAGAACTGATTAGTGAATGGTTTTTGATTTATGTGATAACTTTGCTCTCTTATTTCAAATTCCGATTAAGTAAAGCTAGTCTCAAACACATCACTATAAGAATTTTACTGTTGGTAAATATATTGATAGTCTCAAAATAGCCTGAGATGTTAATATACTTGAATTCGTTTCCTAATTTAGTCATTTGAATTGCATGTGTGTGCTCCTTAAATTTGAAGGTTCTGTTGAGTAAATATTTAATGAACAAACACTTGTTGGCTTTATACGATGCTGGTTCAAAGGTAAAGTCATTATCCTTATATTGAACTTTGCAAAACTGATTTTTTCACAAACCTGCAGACTATATATGATGAAAACTGGCTTTCTGATTGTATATATAGCTTCATTTCTCTCAGCTTTATTCCTACCAAATATACCAAACCCATTGCCATTGAGCCAATTCTGACTCATAGCCACCCTATAGGAGAGAGTAGAACTGCTCCGGAGGGTTTCCAAGGCAGTAAATCTTTACAGAGGCACTCTGCTTCATCTTTCTTCCTCAGAACAGCTGGTAGGTTCAAACCCGTGACCTTTCAGTCAGCAGCCTAGTTCTTAACCCACTGTACCACCAGGGCTCCTCTTACTGTTTAGGGAATTCTTATTGTTAAAACTTAAGCATAAAAATGATTTATCTTGATAGAAGTCTGATCTTATTATCTGAATTTGATTTCTTACATTTGGATGTTTTAAACCCTCATTTTAGGAATGAGTTTTTAAGCTGTTAAGTACCATCAGATTGATTCTGACTCCTGCATTCTGAGGAGTGGCTGGTGGGTTTGAACTGCCAACCCTGTGGTTAGCAGTCCACTGCTTATCCTACAGCACCACACCAAGAGTCCCAAGTTTTTAAGTAGCGTGATAGAAATTAAGTGCCCTCTCATGAACGTGTATTTCTGTAGTTTGAGTGAAACTAGGGCCTTCCCTCAAATTTATAGCTTTTAAAAACTTACAGTGAATTCAAACTAAAATAATGGAATGTCTGAATTATTATCAGGAATTCTTCCTATCTAAGACTTTATGGGAGTACAGTGACTCTGTAGAATAAGCATTGGATTACAAAATATAAGGTCAGTGGTTTGAGGCCCCAGGCCACTCTGGGGAAAAAAGATGAGGCTTTCTGCTCCTACAAATATTTACAGCCTTAGAAACCTTGTGAGTCAGAACCAACTTGACAGTACTTAACAACAACAACGAAGATATAAAGCCTAGATTTAAAAAAAAAAAAAAAAAAATGCATGAAAAGTAATCTTAAATTGAACACATTTCTCCATAATAGCAATAACATTTTGTTGGTTAAGAAAGTTGATTTCATAGTTTGCCTCCTTCCTTCACTACTTGGCTGTTTGATTTTAGGCAAGTCATTTAACCTCTCTGAGCTCTGTTTCGCCATCAGCTTTGTGAGGATTGTTGTTGCTGTTGTTAGGTGCCATTGAGTCAGTACCAACTCATAGCGACCTAATGCACAGCAGAACAAAACACTGAGTGTAGTAGAACCCTAGTGTAATAAACAGCCTGGAATCTCATCAGCTCAGAGTAACTGTTGGCAATAATGGTCAGTGTCATAAATAATCCAAGTAGAATACTATGGGAAGCTTTGAGTGAACTAGAAATAGGATGTGGAAATAACTTTGAAATTATTGAGATGATTTGAATCTTAATATTAAGTAGAATAATTTAGTTCAGAATTTGGTTCATTTTAAGAGCATGGCAAAACAACAAAGATCATCCCCAAATAACAAAATATTTTAAAGTTTACAAAAGAATAAGTAGTGTATACATGTTCTCATTTGACAAACACTTTATTATACAGGCTCTAGTGTCCTGGTGTGACGCTGTAGGATATGCACTGGACTGCTAACCACAAGGTCTGCGGTTCAAACCCAGCAGCCGCTCCTTGGAAACCCTATACAGTGTCGCTGTGAGTGGGAACCAACTCAATGGCACTTAACAAGAAGAGTCTCATTGTTATAGAAATTAACCACCCTTGTCCTTCATACCTTAGCTATAATTGGACAGAGGCTATTTTCCCTAACAACTAGCAAGGTATCTAGCCTTCAGGAAGTTATTTGTTGAATGAATACATTAATGTCTTCTTGTGGCAGAACATACGGTGGTGAGTGGGGAGGGAACCCCAAGGCCTGCTCCTCATTATTTCTCCACTTTGCCTTCACTATTAGTGTTAATACTCAAACTTTGTGACTCTGCTGTCATCAGTTCTCTTTCTTTTTGAAGAATCAAGAGAAACTAATGAAAGAACTCAAACAGCTACAACAAGAGGACCTGGCACGTAGGAGACAGAACGTAGCACGCATGCCACCACGACTAGTTGAGCTGCCGTACAAACGCAGTGAGACGAAAGAAGACTGGCAGAGAGAGCTAGAATTTGCCTTTGAAGATATGTACAATGCAGACAGGAGTAAGATATTTTCAATCGACCCTCAATAGTACTGTTAAACGTTATGGTGGGAAAATATATTTGTAATGATGCAGCAACTTTTATTTTTCAAGGAGTTCTCAGTTTGAAAGAGGCTGTCATGTTTTAGACTTACAATTATGATGGCCTGTAAATTGTATGATCAAATTATCTTTAGTCACTTTGGAATAGAAACCTGTCTTTTCTTTTTATTATTAAGAGGTGAAAGGAAACCTGATTTTGCACCTTGAACCAGAACCTTTGCCTACTCTGAATGATCAGACCCAAGATGAGCAACTGGACCTTTCAATGAAACAAGAAAATTTAAATGAAACTGACACTCTACAAGTGACAGAAGTTGAAAAAATATGCCCTAGTGAAATAGATGGTAAAAACAACAACATAAACCCTTGTGTAGATAGTGCGAAAAATGCTCATCATTAGCCAACACGTATATTTCATTTAAGTAAAATGACTAATAATCAGTAGGAGTGGTGGAAGGAAGAAACTAAATTTCCAGTTCCTATCATTGAAGATCCTTTTCATATACATAGGAGTGAAGATTCTTTTATTCATGTGTGTATATAATCTGACAATTTTGAGATTAAGTTAGCTGCTTCTGAATTCTTTTTTCCCCCCAGATGTTTATCAAGTCATCTAAGATATTGTGCTGTATTCAGTTACTGTTCGACACTTCATGTATGATGAATGGCTCAAACTATTTTAACCACTTCTAAATTTCCACCCATAACCCCACTCTTCTGAACTTTTATACCTGTCTGTCCCATGTGTACTTAAAACTCCAAGTGCTCAGCAATAAATTTATCATTATCTTATGCTTACTGAAACTTTTTTCCTGTTACTGGTACCACAATCTGCAGGTCTCACACCAGACCAGTGGGAGTTACCTTTCACACCTCCCTCTCTTGTACATCTATATCTCATTAATGACAATTTCCTTCATTCTGACCTTTTTCTCCCATGCATACTACTATTGTCTTCATTCAAAACTTAGTCATTTCTTCTTGGATTGCTTCAATAATCTACCTAACTAATGAAACTCAAATCTTTTTCCTCTTTCTCTCTTTGAAAGTTCTCTTAGTGGCCCTCAGAGAAAGTTGTACACTTCCTTTGAATGTGCTTCATTGAATAAATAACATTTATTACAATCAGAGGTAAAGCATATTCATCATCATAAGAAGATCCTTTGGGGTCCCCTGTGTACTCAGTCTTCTCCCTCAATTCTGACAGTGACAACCCTGTCTGCTTTCCATCACTATAGTTTTGCCTTTTCCCGGACTTTCCAGTCAGTGGAATCATACAGTGTGTAGTCGTTTGCATGTGAATACTTTCATGTAGCACTTTGAAGTTCATCAGTATGAATGTATCAGTATTTCAGTCCTTTTTCTTGATTTTGTCAAGTATCATCCCATTATTGTTGTTGTTAAGTGCCATTGAATCGGTTCTGACCCATAGCGACCCTGGATAGTGTTTCCAAGGAGTGGCTGGTGAGTTTGAACCGCCAACCTTGTAGTTCAAACAGCTTTGCAGTCTGGCACATTAGCCCACAGCACCATACCAGGACTCCAGTATCCCATTATACAGCTGTATATCACATTTTTTATTAATCTACTCACTAGTTGCTGGATATTTGCTTCCCCCCCTTTTCTATTTTGTCTATTCCAGATAATTCTGCTATGAATCTTCACATGTAACCTGTGAGTGTTCTTCATTTTGCTTGCATACATTCATTGAAGTAGAATTGCTAAGTTGTATGACAAGTTTGTGTGTAACTTATTTAAAAACTACCAAGCTATTTCCAAAGTTTCTGTGCCATTTTACGTTCACAGCAACAATATATGAGGGTTCTTGGTTCTCCACATCTTAGCACTAACTATGTAGTTACTCCTCAATTACAACTGATTCTATATAGGGATTGCTGGTTTGATGATGCTGGGTGTTTGGATTATTGGAAGCTAGGAATCCCATTATTGTTTTTTCATCCTTATTTTTTAATGTAATGGACAACTTGACTTACTAAAAATCAGTGAGTTAATGAGAATGAAATAAAGCAGGCAAAAAAGAGCACCTAAATGTGTCATTCCTGTTTCTATGAATTTTTAAATAACAGGCTAAAGTAATGAATGGCATTAGAGATTAGAACAGTGGTTATCTTAAAGGAGAATACTGACTGGAAAGTGGCATGAAGGTACCATCTAAATGCTGGAAAGACTCCAAATTAGGATCTGGATGGCATTTAGATCCTGATGTATGAGTGCATGGAGGATGGATGTGTGAAATCCATTGGAAACAGTTGGGTTTTGAGTTATTGCTCAATTAGAAAGTTAAAAACAATCTCTGTAGGTACTCTTAAATTTTATTCTTTAATTAAGCCAGAAATCTTTACTTGCACAACACCTCTAAGCCAAAAACCAAACCAGCTGTTGTGGCAATGATTCTGGGCCATGATGACATATGTGTGTCTGAGTAGAACTGTGTTCCATAGGGTTTTCAGTCACTGGTTTTGAAGGCCTTTCTTCCAAGGTCCCTTTGGATACTGTCAATCCTCCAAATTTTCAGTTAACAATTAAGCACAAAGCAATTTTTAATATACTATGCTGAGTTTTAGCATGGTATGTGTTCTTAGAAACAACTGAAGATAGCGATATTGTTTGTTTAAGTAGCTCTTTATGAAGAGGCCCATTGTCATCCAGTTGATTCCAACTCATAGTGACTCCAGGGAGTAGAAGTGCTCCCTAGGGTTTCAGAGACGACATTTTAACAAGAGCAAGAAAGCCTCATCTTTCTCCCCTGCGAGCCGCTGGTGGGTTTGAACCTCCAACCTTTTAGTTAACAGCTCAGTGCTTAATCTTCTTTACCACTAGGGCTCCTTTCTTTATGAAAATAAGGAGGAGATATTTTCCTCAAATGGTACCAAGAATAATTGGGATGCAATTGATTTACTTTTAAGGTTGTAACTAATAATGGCTTCCTTGGTGCTGTGGGTTAATGTGCCAGACTGCAAAGCCATTTGACCTGCAAGGTTGGCAGTTCAAGCTCACCAGTCGCTCCTCGGAAACCCTATATAGGGTTGTTATGGGTTGGAACCGACTTGACAACACTTAACAACTATAGCCTTCTAAAAAATTCAGAGCCATATTTGGGCTCCTCTAGCATACAGAGCCTTGAAACATATTTCATATATGAACCTTAAGGTCAGCGGTTCGAAACTACCAGCTGCTCCACGGGAGAAAGATGAGGCTTTCTACTCGTGTAAAGATTTACACCCTCAGAAACCCTGTACACCCAGGGTCACTATGGGTCGGAACCAACTCAGCGGCACTTAACGACAACAACAATCTTACAAGTTCAATAGTAGGTATGTACTCTGTCATCATTTAGCAAGCTGACTTAGCATCTTTGTTTCTTTTTTTTTTTCAATAGTTAATATTCGCTGTTGAGACTATACTCAGCAAAACCTACAGCAGTTCAACAGTTTTTGCATGTATAGTTCAGGGACATCATTTACAGTCATTGAGTTGGGCAGCCGTTCTCTCTCTTTCTATCCCCCCCCTCCCGCCATTCACATAAATTCACTGCCTCCTGTCTTTTCTGATTTGTCGATTTAATCCCATTTAGATAGATCTTAAAAGAGTTGAAGTGCCAAAGTTAGAAGCAGAATATATTTAAAAGTGGATTTGGGGCCGTTACCCCTAGTGAGATCTCACAAGAACATTCCTGTGCACATCCCTCAGTGTTCACCTGGTTGTAATGTCATTCTCCATGAGCCTCAGAGACTAAATTCTCCTGTCTGCAGTAGTCCTCTGCCTGCTTTCCATAGGTCCATCATGCCGTTGTGACACATGGCTGCTGCCCTCAGTCATAATTGTGGGAGGAGATTCCTTTGTTCTCTGTGCCTTATAAACAGGTCACCATGTGGAGATAGAACTTTGGAAACGCATCATGGTGTTTAGGATTGCCCTCACCTAGGGTGATATATGTTGGTCTTTGTCTTGTATTTACTCTTTCAAGTGTGATGCTGTGGGCTAATGCATCAGACTGCAGAGTCATTTGAACTGCAATGTCAGTGGTTGAAGCTCACCAGCTGCTCCTTGGAAACCCTATACAGGGTCGCTATGGGTCAGAATTGACTAGACGGCACTTAACAATGGTAACTAAAAAAAGTATATCTTTGAAGATGAGTTTCTTTTCTCCCTTCTAATGCTTGTTGATAAGTGCTGTCAAGTAGTTTCCGACCCATAGTAACTCTGTATGGGATTTCTGAGGAGTGGCTGGTGAGCTCGAACCACTGACCTTGCAGTTCAAACTGACTTTGTAGTTAACACATTAGCCCACAGCGTCACACCAGGACTCCCTTATAACACTGTTGTTGTTGTTGTTAAGTGCCTTCGAGTCGGTTCCGACCCATAGCGACCCTGTACAGGGTTTCCGAGGGTGTAAATCCTTACGGGAGTAGAAAGCCTCATCTTTCTCCCGCGGAGCGGCTGGTAGTTTCGAACCGCTGAATCTTAACATTCGCAGCCCGATTCGTAACCACTACACTACCAGAACCCTTATAACACTAGTTAGTCTAAATGTTGGTTTAATTTTAAAAGATTCCAAGGGATATTTTTGGTTCAAGGTTTAAAGATTATCTCAGGCAAACTTTCAGGGATTCATTCATCCTTAATGGCTCCAAATGCTTGATATGCTTTTTGTTTTGGTTTGTTTTTTAAAGTTGATAATGCTTTTTGGGTTTTGTTTTTCTTAACTTTATATTGTGATTTGGGTGAAAACTTATAGAGCACATTGGTTTTCCATAAAATTCATCCCCATTTTGTTTCCTGACATTGGCTGTAATCCTCATAATGTAACAGCATTGTTTCCATTTCCTCCCTGTGTACCATTCATCCTTCTTTGCAGTCCCCTGCCTTCTGAGGTTTATCCTTGGGCAAGTGCTGGCCTTTGATCTCAGATGCTTGTCTCTTCTAATAAGTGAATACCTCCCTGGCGTTACTGTTCTTTTGTTTTGCTGAAAGTTGAACTGCAAGGGTGAGTTCAGTTCCAGGATTGAAAGATCTCTAAGGGCCATTGTTTCTGGGGTCCCACCAGTCTCTGTCAGATCAGTAAGCCTGGTCTTTTTGTGTGTATGTGATTTTGAGTTGGAGTCCACATTTTTCTCCCACTCAGACTCCTGGTGTGGCATTGTGGGTTAATGTGCTAGACTGTAAGGTTGGTTTGAACTGCAAGGTCGGTGGTTCAATCTTACTATCTGCTCCTTTAAAACCCTTTACAGGGTTGCTATGAGTCAGAATTGACTCAATGAGAACAGCAACAACTTACCTAGGATCAGCAGTGGCAGTCAGGCAACAGCTAGTTCTTCTGGGCTCAGGGTCACTGCAGCTAACGTTCACATGGGCCATTAGGCCTTTGGACTAATTCTTTTCATGTGTTTTTGATTTTCTTCATTCTTCTTTGCTCCAGACCAGGAAAGGGCAGTAATTGCACCTTAGATAAATTTTTCTAAGCTTTAAATTTGTATTTGAAAACAGTTGAATTTGATACTTTTACTATGTAAATTTAATTGAAAAATATTTCTTGTTATAAAATAGTAGCTGAAATCAAATAGCATTTTTATGTATACTGTTAGATTGTATTCTGTTGTATTTTTGTTTTAAATAGTAATTCTAGAGGTAACAAGTATGATAGGTATGAATAAGATTTTGTTTTTTTGTTTGTTTTTAATAGTGCCATTGGCAATGAAAACTCAACAGGCCCCTTCAAAAATAATTTTTAAAAAATTATTAAATAAGATCCGAAGCCAAAAATCTCTCTGGACAATAAAATCTGTGTCTGAGGATGAAAGTGAAATGCCGGCAACCATCAGTGAAACTGAGAGTAAAGTACCAACTGTGGAATCGGGGACGATTGTCAGTGAAGAGCAAACATTGTCCACTGGGCTCGAGCAAGGTGATTCTCCAGTAGCCTCATTCTATAGCACACAGCCCTTTTTAAATTGCTTAGAAATATGCCCGTTCCTGAAAAGTCAATGAATGTAGGTCAAAAGAATAAAGAGTAAAAGCCCCAGTCCTGAAACAAATCCTAAAAACTTTAGTGAGTCTCTTTCCAGACCACTTTTAATATATTATTGTTTTAATATAAATTCTAGTATAATTGATATACCAAAATGAATCCGTTTCCTTTGTTAAGACTGTTTTAAGTTTTTCTTTCAATTCCTTGAGCTGTAATAAGCATCCTCTTAACTGAAATCTCTTCCCACTTTGTTCACTATTTCTCTAAGATGAACCATGAACTCATAAAAGGAGAATTCCTGAATCAAATTATATGACCATGTTAATGGCTTTTGTGTATCTTATATTGTGTTTCTTTCATATTCTGCCAGATACTTGGTTTCTGTATTTGTTAATATCAAATAACCTTTTTGGTAGAGAAATAGTCTATGAAATATCATTTTTCCAGTTTTATTTTTAGATTTAAAGATATGCATAATGAATTTGTGAGGAAATGTTTTGCTACCATGCTTTTGGAAGAAGGCAGTGACTGTAGTCTGTATTTGGATTTTGGATTTTGTCCTACACATGATAGGAGGGATTCCTGAAGTGTTTTCTACATTTGACCTCTTGATACCAACCCCCACCCACGCCCTGTGATTGACCTACTTCCTTGCTTCCTCCGTTATTTGTTTCCTGGCTATTTATCCTCATCTCTGCAACCACTAAGCATTGCGCTCCATGCGCATTCCTCATATCTCTTCTGTCTGTATCAGCACTGCCTGTTCATCCCCTCTAAAGCTATGGTTTTACATTTCCAAGGGTGTATTTCTAAGGTTGATAGCTTGGGAAGGAAACAACAAAGGTATATAAAAAGGAGTGGTCAAAACAAGTAGGACAGAAAACATGGTGTTGGAAGCCCAAAATGGGGGATGGAGATGTTTATGGATTAAATTCCATGACCAAGTTCTTTTGAAGAAAATCCCTGTACAAGGGGGCTTCAAAAAGATACTGGAATTTTTCCACAAAATTTTGAGTTGCGTGGCATTCTTCAGTCTCATCTTGGTTTATTCTGCCCCTTTCTAACTGTACCTCATACACACTGACCTTTCAGTTCCTTGAATGGGCCACTTTTTTTTTCTCTCTCTCTCTCACAGGGTCTTTACACCTGCTGATCTGTCTTTCTGGAAAAGTCTCTTACATAGCCCCATATTATTTACCTGGCTGATTCCTACTCACCTTTCAGGGGTCTGCTTACATGTCATTTCTTCAGAGAAATTTCACCTGACCCACTAGTCTAATTCACATTCCCGTATTATTACTATTATTATTATTGTATTCTATTTCATAACCTCTTTTTTCTCCTATTTACTTACCATAATTTCTAATTTTATCATTTTTATGTTTCTCTCCCTCATGTAACCTATGTGAACTCCTTTGATGTCTTCTCTTATTTACCTCAGTGTTCCTGACATACAGCACATAAGTAGGTGCGGAATGAGTGAGTGACTGAGTGAATGAATGAGTGAATAATGGATGCAGAGTTTCTGAATACTCTGGTAGGGTCAGAGTAGATTGCTTTAACTTTCCTGATCTGGTTTCATAAATAATAAAAATCACGGTATCTGAATATGTCAAAGATATGTTGACATTTCTGTATCTTTTCTAGTTATACAGTACCATGCTTATTCTGTTTCTTGTATCATTTTTCATTGAGTTTGAAGCCCTGTGGTCACATTTTACTTTTTGTTTATACTTTGTCTTCCATCTGTCTGCTTGGATTGATTAGACATGCAATTGTTTACCGGTTATTAGGAATGTGATTGGATTGTGATTAAGGCATTCATTCAGGTAGATAAAAATTGAATTGTGAATCTGCCAGTTTAGGTTTTATTACTTCAGATCTAATAACAATGATATCTTTTACAGTTGAGAGTGATGCACTAACAATTGAGTCGGGACCACTTAGTACTGAAGACAAGCCACTTTCATGCAGTACAGACTCTGAAAACCAACGAGGTATTCTTTTTACCACATCCTTAAGTTAAACTTGCTTGATTCTTTGCATCTTTTTTTCTCATAAAATTACATGTAATAAATGAATGAAATGACATTATAATGGTGTCACAATTCTAAATTGTTGAAACTCATTTTTGTTTGGGGGATTTTCTTAGAAGTACATGAGGCTCAGCCCATCACATCTGTAGTTCAGAGTTCAGTTCTACTTCATCCTCAAGAAGAAGCAGCCAGAATTAGAATCTCAGCAAGGCAGAAACAGGTAATTTGAAACTTTAATTTTAATGGTTTCCTTCTTCCCTTAGATACTTTAATTTTGGTTGACCAATGAAATTTGTCTTGATGTCTGGCTACTTTTGTTATCATCTCTTCTACCTTGTCTCAGAAGAGATGATATCATAGCCTTTCTACTGCCTTGTCTTACGGGAGTCCTGTGGCACTGTGGGTTAATGTGCTGGACTGCAAGGTCAGCTGTTCAAGCTCACCAGCTGCTCCTCAGAAACCCTATACAGTGTCGCTATGAGTCAGAACCAACTTGCCAGCACTTAAGAATAACAACAACAACAATAACCGTATCTTACAGAAACATTTAATTGATAAAAAGCACCTCATTCTTTGTACAATATACTTTATATTTTTTTGCATTCTGCTTTTTTTATATTTGTATTGTATACTTTGGGATACATTCTAATCACTTGTCATTGAGTCAGTTCTGATTTTTGGCAGCACCGTCTATGCCAAAGCAGAACTGTGTCCATGGTATTTTCAATGGCTGATTTTTATTTTTGGAAGTAGATTGCCAGTCCTTGCTTCTGAAGTGTCTCTGAATGGACTCAAACCTCCACCTTTTCAGTTAGCAAAAGGGCATTAACCATTTGCACCACCAAGGAATATCTTCCCTATATAATGTTTATAGTTTTTAAAGGAAGAAACTGCTCTTTGTTTTTAGTTCAGATTATTTTCTGGTGTAATGCTTTATATATAGTGAGTTTTCAAAACTTTTGCTGAATAAATAAGTACCTGTTTTAATATTAGACAGCTAGATCTTGTAATCCAAAAAGTTTTTTTGAAAAATAGGATTTCAAAACAAAAATTTAACTAAAATTTACTCTTTTTTTAAGCATTGTAATGAAATATAGTACAACATTTAACATGTTAGTGTATAATTCAGTGATACTAATTGCGTTCTCCCTTGCAGCAATCATCACCATCTGTTTCCAATTTATTTCCTCCTCCCTCCCCTGTAGATACTCTGTAGGTTCGATGGCACTTAACAGCAACAACTGTAACTAATCCCAGAAGTTAATTATTATTAAGCCAATCAGTTTATTGCTATTGTTATTGTTAAGTATCGTCTAGTCAGTTCTGACTCTTTTGTGACCCTGTATAAGGTGTCTGAAGGTTTATAAGGTTTCATGGGTTTGAACCACCGACGTTGCAGTTGTAAACGGATCTTTTGGTCCCAGTGCATTATCCTGCAGCACAACACCAGGAATCCATTAATAAGTCAGTCAGTTTATGTTATTGTGTCATTGAATTGGTTCTGACTCATAGCAACCATGTATAGGGTTTTTGAGGAGCGGCTGGTGAGTTTGAACCACTGACCTTGTGGTGCAAATCGATGGTGTGGTCCAGTGTGTTGCATTATCCTGCAGCACCAGTTAACTCTAAAAAAAATAATAAAAGTGGGCAATGAAAATTGGTAGTGCCGTTCTAGAGCTACCGCAGACTGTAAACCATCCAAATTCAGTGGGTCCTATAAGTGTGGGAGAGTGAGGAAGCCATAGACAGGAGCTCAGCTGTTGCTACTGTTTGAAGTATCACACTGAGACATTTTTGTATTTTGAAAGCAAGATCATTTTTTAAATATCTCGAGTAGAAATACTTTTCTTTATGAAATTTTGTATACATTACTTTTTCTATTCACTCATTTAAATATTTACCTTGCATTAGGGGTGCCCTGGTATGATGCAGTATAATAAGCATTGGACTGCTAACTGAAAGGTTGACAATTCAAACCTACCAGTAGCTCCTTGGAAACCCTTTACAGGGTCGAAGGGAATTGGGACCGACTTGACGATACTTAACAGCAACACTTGCGTTAGGTACTATACCAGGTGCTTAATTTAGCCAGCAGTAGACAGATGTAGTCCCTGTCCTCATGAAACTTAGGGGTACTCTGATGTGCTCAGAGTACTATGATTCTTTGTCTGCGTGTGTGTGTGCTTGCGCACGTGTGTCAGACTATATCATCCTGTCATTTGCCCATTTTCTTTCTGTTGTGTGCATACCAGAAAAGACACAGGGTGTTGCTCATAATGTTGTTACTTAGCTTCTGGATAACTGCACCCTGAGGAATCACAGTATTTTGGGAGGTCTTGATATTTAATTTCTGTAGTCCTTGTTTATACTGAAACAATGAAAAATCAAAGCTATGGGCACAGAATATGGGTGAGCATCATTTGCTACTTATTTAGACATGGTTCTTAAGTGACGATGTTAGTTTCCCTGAGCTATCAGAAATAGAAATAATTAAAGTGTTTATTTTTTTCTGCCTTGTCTTATTTTTCTCTTTCTCCCCCTCTTTCCGTCTTGTGACTTCCTTCCTCTTTGGCAGTGGCAACAGCAGAGAGAAAAATCAGCACTTCTTGGATACTTGTTCTTTGGGTGCTAGAAATGATTTTTTTTTTTTTAATATAATGCATGTACATTTTTATGTGTGTGTGTAATAAATCAGTAGTATTTTTGTTACCTAGATAATGGAAATAGAAGAGCAGAAGCAAAGGCAGTTGGATTTACTTGAGCAAATTGAACAACAGAAATTAAGATTAGAAACTGACTGCTTTAAGGCTCAACTAGAAGAAGCAAACAGAAAAAAAACTCAACAGATTGGGGTAGGATACAAGAAATCTCATCTCTCATAGATTGTTGGTGTGCAGACCATATGAACAATTAGCATTCAGCGAAATAAAATGTCTGATTCTCATTTGATATTTTGGTTTTTGTTTTGTTTTTTAATAATGAACATATAAATGTATACCAACCTATTGATTTTCATCTTTCAGTTTCCCTGGGGTACCAGTCTATGGGACCAGGATTTGTATGTAATACATACAAGGGGACTTTTAAAAAGTTCTCTTTTCATTCCATGTATCCGTGAATTTTTTAAAAGCTCCCTCATATGTTGAGCTCTTAGACTTGGCACCAATGGAGAAAGAACAATGGATTACTTCTTGATGTTGTAATGGCAAGTGCCAGTCTTTTTATTTTAAAAAAAAGTTATATGGGAGTTTACAATTTTAGAACTTCAGTTTCTGTAAAATACTGTAATACTGGTTTTTGAATTTGCCTTTTAATCAGATGGTTTTTTTTTTTTTTTTTTAATTAGGTTGGTTCTGCTCCAGCATCAAGCACCGTAGTTTCTGATGAAGATAGTCACAGGCAGATGATTCGTAACTATCAGCATCAGCTTTTAGAACAAAACAGGTATTAGCTCGGGTGCAATTTGGTAGCTAACTGTATGTAGCTACCTCTTAGGATTTATTATTTAACATATATGAGGATCTAATTGGCATTCCCTCAGAACCATGGCTTACAGATTTCTCACAGCAGTGTATGAGAGTCTTTCCTTTGATTATGATTATAATCATGGTTAACGTGATTATGACTAATCCAGAATTGCTCCTTGTTATATTTAATATATAGACATTTGAGAATAAGGGGCTGTGTTTTCATCATAAAAGAACAATGTTTGTTTGTTTGGTTTTTGGTAGGTTACACAGACAGTCCATTGAAGCTGCCAGGAAACAGTTGCATGATTATCAGACTATGTTAAAAGAAAGGTACCTATCCGTGTCAGCTGCATCAGTGGTATCTGATTCTATTGTATCAGAACCACCTCAGAAATATGAAAGGTCCACTGTTATGTCAGAGCATTGGGATCAAGATCAGAGACGCAACATGAGTCCTGAAAACTATCAACCCATACAGGTCTCCAAATTAGAACAAAGTCGTTTTCAGGTACCAAGAGAGACTCTCTTTTCACCACGACAGATAGAAACAATGGGAACATCGAGCACTTCAAATGTTTTAGCCAAGCAATCTGTGGAATCACAAGGACATCAACAGTTATTCTCCCAAGCTGGAGCACAAAAGAGAGACCACAGATTGATCCCTGAAGATTCTCATAGACTTTCAAGGGCCTTGTCACAGGATAGGTCACTAGTATTTCAGGATCCTACAGAAACATCTCAAACATCTAGGACAACACCTTTTCAAACTTTAGACTCCCAGCAGATGCTCTCAGAAAACAGCCAAAGTATATCTTCTAAGCTGACTGATCCTTCTTCATTTCTACCACTGGTAGCTGAGCACTCTTTTAGTTCTCTGCCTGCTAAAAGTGAATCTGGAATAATCCAAGAAGCCCTTTCAACTAAAAGCAGAAGTACTTATTCCTTAAGCCATTCTGTTATCAGCCAAATACAGGATAGGCCTTTGCCATCCTTAGAACATATCACAGCCCAACAAAGTAATTTGAAAGCTCTCCAAGAACAGCTGGACCTACAAAAGGAAGTTCTTCGGGCAAAACAGGAATCTCAGCAACAACAACTTTTGCATAAACAGAAGGAATTGGAAGAACAAATTGGCCTCTCTTTATTTATTCCATTGGTAGCTCCACGTTCATTTGCTTCACTACCTTCTACCAAAGCTGAATCAGTGAGAATCCAGGAATCTTCTTTACCCAAGAGTGATACTGCAGTTTGTTCAGGCCATCCTGTGGTTCCACAAATTCAAGATAGGCTTTTGAATTTTTCACAGACTAATTTATCTCAGCAAAATAATTTTAAATTTCACCATGAGCAGCTGAATGTTCGAAAGGACAGAATGCAGGCTAGGAGAGAAGCCCAGGAAGTATTACGGGTACATAAACAGAGTGAACTAGATGGAAGTGTATCTTCTGAGCAGGCTGAATCCTCTACTCTCCCATTTCAGATAGATCAGCACAAACTTACTTCACTGTCTGCTGAAGCTAAATCTGGAACATTCCAGCCGCAGTATTCATCAAAGAGTGACAAAGGAGTCCTCTCAAGCCAATCTGAAATCCCAGCATCTCAAGACAGGTCTTCAAGTTTCCTACAGCAGTTCCTACCTCTGCATGATAGCTTAAAGTTGCTCCAAGAACAGCTGTCTACACAGAGGGATGCTCTTCAGGCTAGGCATGAAACCCAAGCAGAATTACTTTTACACAGACAAAAGGGTTTAGATGTTAGGAAGTCTAGGCAGTTAAGCTCTTCATTCTCAATGGCAACTGCTCATGATTCAGTTGCTTCACACTCTTCTGCTAAAACTGAACCTAGAAGAATTCAGAATCTTCATTTATCTGAGGAGAGTCTGATTCCTTCAAATCATTTGGTAATCCCGACATTTCAAGATAAATCTCTTCCTAGTTTTCCACAGCATAGCCTACCACAGCAAGAAAATTTGGAACCACTACAAGAACAGTTACACATGCAGAGGGTAGTAAAAGGAGCTAACCAAGAAACTTGGGAATTTGAACATAAACACAGTGAATTGGACAAAAGATTTTCCTCTGAACAGGTAGACGAATCAGAAAGATCCCAAGAATTTATGTCACTCAAGAGTGAGAGTACATGCCCCTTAAGTCACTCTGTGATCCCAAGTTTTCAGGAAAGACCTTTGAGACTGTCACAACAGGTAATACCCCTAAAAGATAACTTGGAAGCATGTCAAGGGTGGCTACACACCAAGAAAGATGCTCTTCATTTTAGCCAGAACGCTCAACAAAGTAGAACTCCTGAACAAACTGGCCAGTTAGAACAGCTTTTATATACTTCATTACCTTCTGCTGTATCTGGTACAGTCCAGGAGCGTAGCTCAGTAGAAGGTGATAGTGAAATTCCTTCAAGCCATTTTCAGATCCCACAGTTGCAGGGTAGGCTTTTGAGTCTATCACAACGTATCCAGCCTCAACAAGATAATTTGAAGGCACTTCAAGAACAGTTAGCTACACAGAGAGAATCCATTGTTCAATCTAGTCAGGAAGCTCAGAAAGAATTACATTTGTATGAACAGAGTGGTTTAAAGGAAAGAATAGCTCCTGACCAGGTTGGTACCTCATCCTTCTTACCCCTGGTATCCCAGCATTCATTTACTTCAGCATCTCCTACTGAGTTGGAGAGAATCCAAGAACCTTGTCCAACTAAGAGTGATAATGCAGTTACCTCAAGTCATTCTGAAATGCCAAGATTTCCTGACAGGTTTTTGGATTTGTTGAAGCCTGTTCTACCTCAGCAAGATAATTTGAGTACGCTTCAAGAGCACCTACATGCACAGACAGATGTCCTTCCTTGTAGCAAGAAAACTCAGAAAGAATTGGTTTTTCCCAGACAAAATAACTTTGAGGAAAACATATTTTGTGAGCAGTTTATCGAACTTCCTCGTAGTGATCTGACATCACTTCAAGAGCAATTAGATGCTCAAAGGAGAAACATTCGATCAGCACAAAAAGTCCAAGAAGAACTACTTTCACAAAGATTAAGTAAGTTGGAGAAAAGAGTATCATCTGAACAGGTTAGTTCTTCTTCATTCTTATCTCTGGTAGTCCTGCCTGTAGTTGACTCTAAAAACAACCAAGAGCCTTTCCCAACCCAAAATAACAACACTGTTCCTTCAAGTAATCCTGCTGTTCCTGGAGCACATAATAGGAATTTAAATTTATCCCTGACTAATCTGCCACAACAAGAGAGTTTGATAGCACTTCAAGAACAATTGGACTTACAGAGGGAAGTGGCGTGTTGTAGTGAGAACACCCAGGAAGAATTGCTTGTAAACACGCAAAGCAACTTGAACAAAAATGAATCTTCTCAGCACACTGTCTTCTCTTTGTCTGTACCCAAGGAGGCAGCGCATTCATTTATTCCACTACCTTTTGCTGAAGCTACACCTAAAAGAATTTGTGAATGGTATTCATCCAACAATGGGCAGAAAGCTCCCTCAAGTAATTTTATGGTCCCAAAATTACAAGATATTTCAAGTTTCTCACAGCCTATCTTAGCTCAGCAAGAGAACCTGGGTTTTCAGCAGCAGTTGGATCTACAGAGAGAAGCTCTACATTGTAGCCAAAAAGCCCAAGAAGAATGGACTGTTCAGAGACAAGCAGCACTGCAGCAGCAGATACAGAAACATGAAGAGACTTTGAAGGATTTCTTTAAAGACAGTCAGGTATGTCTGGAACTTGCAAATCTAAGCATTAAACAGTAGAATCTAGCTGAAATGAGCTACATGTTAGTTTTCATACTAGGTCTAAAACAAGTTTTTGGTTTTTGTTCTTTTAAATTTATTGTGGTAAATGCATACAAGGAACCTTCAAAAAGTTTGTGGATAAATGGATTAAAAGGTACTGACATTTTTCCACAAGGCTCTGAAAAGCACCTTGTATAACATAAAATTTGTCATTTCAACCGTTTTTAAGTGTTTAATTCAGTGACATTAATTACATTCACAGTGTTCAGAAATAATTTCTATTATCTTATTTCTAAAACATTTTCATTAACCCAAACAGGTACTGTTTTTCTTTTAGGTCCAGGATTGTGATGGTTGTATTTTTAAATGGAAATACTACCATTTTAATATTGGAGGTATCTCTCTCTCTCTCTCTCTCTTTTTTTTTTTTTTTTTT